CGCCCTGGGCGATGCCTTTGCGGACCTCAGCCAGAAGTCTCCTGAGCTGCAGGTATGCCCGCGGAGGAGGCGGTGCGCACCAAGCCTCGGCCTGCACTGCAGCCCCTCGGGAGCAGACTGAGAGACCCCCACCGGCCTCGGGCTCTGCAGCGCAGCTGGGGGCGGCTCTGCCCCACCGGTGTGTGAGGAGGAGCAGGAGGCAGCTGGGGATAACGGTGCTCAGCAAAGGCCGTGGGGCAGGGGAGAGCGTGAAGGGCCCCGTGCCAGCACCCCCTTGGGGCACCCTGGGCCAGGATCTGGGTGCATGGGAGGAGAGAGGGGGCCTTGCCGGTGCAGTGTGGACCCTGACTCCTCTTCCTCTCCCAGGAGGAGTTTGGTTACAACGCGGAGACGCAGAAACTGCTTTGCAAGAATGGAGAGACACTACTGGGAGCTGTCAACTTCTTTGTCTCCAGCATCAACACGCTGGTGAACAAGACCATGGAGGACACGCTCATGACGGTCAAGCAGTACGAGACAGCCAGGTAGAACGGCGGCGTGGGCCGGGGCTGGGCTCCTGATGGGTGTTGGGCGCCCCTGGGGGGCAGCTGCGGGGCTGCAGTGTCGCTCTGACGCCGGCCATCCCTGCGCAGGCTGGAGTATGATGCGTACCGCACAGACCTGGAGGAGCTGAGCATGGGCCCTCGGGATGCCAGCACCCTGTGCCGGCTGGACGCAGCCCAGAACCAGTTCCAGAGCCACAAGGACAAGTACGAAAAGCTGCGTGCTGATGTGGCCATCAAGCTCAAATTCTTGGAGGAGAACAAGGTGGGGAGGGCCGCGGGGCTGGGCAGGGCCTGCGGGGCGCGGAGCGGGGTCTGCTGCGCACTCCTCCTGTCCCTTGGCTGCGCTGCCTGGTGGCCACCTGCCCAGGACCTGCATTTGGGTGGGCAGCAGCTGTGAGGCAGCCAGGAGGGCCGGGGAGCGCCCGTCTCTGCCCACCTCGCTGCTGGGGCTTCTGCTGCGCAGCCTTCCCCCAGCTCTCGGGGATAGTTTTCATTCCGGAGGTGCTGGCAGCAGCTCTGGCCTCCCCCGCACCTGCGTCCCTGCTCCCTGCCCCTTCCCTGGTGCCAGGAGGCAGGGCTGGCTCACGGCCTGCTGACCCCCCCGCTCTCCCCAGATCAAGGTGATGCACAAGCAGCTACTGCTCTTCCACAACGCCATCTCTGCCTACTTCGCTGGGAACCAGCAGCAGCTGGAGCAGACCCTCAAGCAGTTCAACATCAAGCTGAAGACCCCCGGTGCTGAGAAGCCCTCCTGGCTGGAGGAGCAGTGAGATGCCCCCCGTGCGCTGTGGCCGGGGGCACCATGGACCTGAATTCTGGCTGGTGGCGCGGGGCCTGGCCGCGTGCTCGCGG